CAGCCATGTGGGAATCCAGCTGCCTTAACCACCATGCCACCTGCTGGCCCCCATAATACCATTTTTCAAAATAAACATTTGTAATTGATTTTATTGGCAACACTTCAGATTGAGTGCAGTGTAAGATATTTATACTTTCATCTCGATTCAGTATAGTCCACTAGTACTCAGAAGTAATATTTGCTATATTGAAGCTATTTTAGAATTACAGCTATTTTGATTCTTTCAGGTTGAAAAGTATAAATTCAGAGATTTTGATCTTGGTCTTTTCTTTAAAATAAAATAAAGCAAACAGCAGATGTAGATGAAACTGTTGTACTTCACAGATTTAATATGTATTTAATGTATTACCAGCACCCACTTAATCACAGTGACACAGGCAGCAATACTGTTCAAAAAAAACAGAATAAAACTCTTTTTCTTTGTTCTTCATTTAGGTATTACAAGATGCTTAAGTTTAAAAAAGTTATTAGAACATTCTCATACATACTGTGCATTCATAACCAAATTCCATAATAATTTACTTAAAAATAAATTTTCCCTGTGGTTGCTCTTATAAAGTACCCTATATGCACCTGGTATATAAAAATAAAAGATTTTTGGAATATTAAAAAAAATTAGGGTAGGATTCAGGAATTCGCCTTTTTTCTTCCAAATTATTTCCATGCACACTTAAACTGAAAACCCCCTTCCCTGGGGCTATTGCTTTTAGAGTGGACATGCCTGGTCCCGACTCCCAGGGCCTGCATTTCAGGTGAAGGGAGCTTATTTGTGAAGGCTAGGGATAGGGAGAACAGGATTGCTGTGGTTGATCGCAGGATGCAGAAAGTGAGTGTGCACAGTTTCTCAACACGCAGAGATCACCCCGACCCAACCTCTAATGCCTGCTAGTTGAGCTCCCCAAAGACCCCCCCTTCCCCTCCCCACTGCCACTGTCTGTTTCATTTCACGTGGTGTGAAGGTGGCAGTCATGTCTGCCTGGATCAGGCCCATCTCTTTGGGAAGCATCTCAGCAGGTGCGCGCCTCCTCTCCAGGCCTGTTTTATGATCCTAGACTTGGGTTGCTTGTGTCTCCCTGCCCCACTCATCTGCCCTAAATGAGGGACAGATCTCTTCATGCTTTGGGTACTGGAGACCTGCTTGTAGCAGACCCCTTGGGAGTGTGGGGTTGCTGCAGTAGGAGCACCCACTTAACCACAGTGACACAGGCAGCTGTGGGTCCCATGGGACAAGTCTTAATCTCGCCCAGACTGTGCTGCGGGCCAGGGTTCCCCTAAGGAGCAAGAAAGCATCTGCCTCCCGGGAGATCCTGGCATCAGAGGAATGAAGAAACCTGCTGTTTTAGCCTATGTTCTTTATCCCTCCTCCTCTGGCCTCACTTCACCCATCCGCTTACTACAAAGACCCTTTGGCCAGGGCAGACGGTGGAGGATAGTCCTGCAGCTGTAAACCCCATTGCTCTGGAGGCTGACCCACGAGGGTGGTGCCCCAGTTGAGTGGGGTGAGCTCCCTGGGTATGCATGCTTGGGGGCATGCAGATGGCGGCTGGCCCAGGCTGGGGGTGGACCTCAGAGTGAAGACCCTGTTGGGGGTGTTGTCAGTTTCTCTCATTCGCTCAGGAAAGAAACTTTAAAAAAAAATAAAGAATCCTTTGGGATTTCTTTGGGAGTAGAGAAAGGGGGACGTTGCCCTAGGAGGCAAAGGTTCCCACCCCTCTCCTTTACTCACCTCCTCGCTCCTGCCCAGCGATCCTTTCTCACACCCGTGCAGCTGCACAGCTCTGCCCTGCTGATCCGGGAGTGACCTCCTAGACCAGTGGCTGCAGAGGACGGTCCAGCGGTGTCGCGGTGTCACTGTGTCAGAGGAGTAGGAGGAGGAGGCGGCGCAAGGTCGCAGTCTGAGGCTGGGCGCTCGCCCGGCCCAGCTCCTTGCGTGGCTTT